GGCCCCATTTCTCAGCCCCCCGCAGCTTCACGGGGCAGCGCGCGCGCGAGGCTGGCCCCAGCGGTTGTTCAAGATGTTGGTCGAAAGCTGACCCAGGCTTCTTACGGTGGAGACCCATGCCAAGAAACACCTTGCTTGCCTACAGGGTGCCCTGGGTTTCTTGGGTTTCGATGGTGTTGCAATGGAGAACGTGTCGTTCCCACGCCGACGTTCAATGGACGCCATGGGGTCACAGGGTTGGGTTTCTTGTGAAGAGATTCGCTTCTTGACGATATCCTCGGCTGTAGATGAGGTCGGGGGATCGCGCCGCATCGCCGATGAGTCGGCGATGCGGCTCGATGCGCGGCCCGTTTTGCTTCACCTACGTCGCCGATGCATCGCCGACATCGCCGATGCATCCGCGATGCGGCGCGATCATCCGACCCGCTGTACTCGGGCCCCGAGAGGGGGTCCCCCCAGGGTCCATTTCTCGGCGGCGCGCCCAGGGGGGAAGTGAGAGAGGGAGGGCCCTCTCAGAAGGCGGCGGGGCCTCTCAGAAGCCCTCTGGCCTGCTGAGAAGCCCTCAGAAGGTTTGAGAAGTCCCTTCTCCTGGGAAAGTGCACAACAAAGACTGCACGAATCAATGATGATGCGCCTGTCTTCGAGATCCCTCACGTGCCGCACAGCACGAAAGGGGTCCGACGGAGAAGGGTCACGATGCTTATCTTCACTCTGCGATCCGGTGGCTACGTCTTCCCGAGCGGGGCCCTCTTTAAGCACAGACTGCTAGCTAGTTGGCAGGAGGCCTTCTGAACCCTCCTCGTCCTCCAATATTTTTTTCCTTGTAGATAACTCCTCCCTGTCGCACTCCGAGGCCAGTTTTTAGGGCGGGCCGGGCGTTTCGCTTGAGACTTCCCCACCAATTACGATTCTGAAGCTTAGAAAGCGACAACAGCTTCACAGATGGAGGGCGGGTGGTTTTCAAAATGTGGCTCTCGCCTGAGCGCCGCGCACATTCGTTTTAAAAATGTGTAGGAGCTTCACGGATTGAGGGCGGGCGGTTTTCAAAATGTGGCTCTCGCCTGCGCCGCTCACATGAGCTTTAAAAATTGACAGGTTCACGGATTGAGGGCGGGTCGTTTTCAAAATGTGGTTCTAGCCTTGGCGCCGCGCACATTCGTTTTAAAATGTTGCAAGAGCTTCACGGATTGAGGGCGGGGCGTTTTCAAAATGTGGTTCTCGCCGTAGCGCCGCGCACATTCGTTTTGAAATTGTAGACGCTTCGCGTAACCCCACCAGCGGTCTTGCACGACTAGGCCGCCAACGCCAGTCATGGTCCGACGCACCGTTTTCGAGCGCTTCAGGTGCTCTGTGAGTGAGGCGTCCGTCCTTTCCCCTCCCCTCGTCGCCTCCTGCTCTTTTCGTTCTCTCCTCCTCCCCCTCGTCGTGTTGAGCTGGCGCCGTTTCGGCGACTCCTCGCACTCTTCACCCACCAGTCGACGCTAAGATGCGTCTCCTTGAATTTAGTTCATTTTGTTCTGTGCATGTGCAACTGCGAGCATGCTTGCAGGCGCGGTCGGCTGTCGACAGTGACGGCTGGATTCGCAAATTATCTCGCTCTGTGCCCCAGACGACCTGATTGACCCGCCCTCTGGAGCCGTCCTTTGGGCCGCAGATCAAAAAAAAGTAACCCCACCAGCCCATCCAGAAACGATGCCCAGAGGAAGTGCCACGATCATGGAAGTGGGCAGCACACAGAGGAAGGCTCCCCCAGTGGAGGCCTCTTGGAGCGTTTTGGGTGCCTCTTGGCGGTCCCGAGCGCCTCTTACAGCGTCTTGGGTGCCTCGGAGAGCTTCTTGGGGCCTTTGGGGGGTCTCCTGGGGGCCTCGTGGAGGCCTCTGGGGCGCCTGTTGGGGCCTCCTGGGGCCTCCTGGGCCCTCGGGGTTGAAGCCCCCGAGAGGGCGGCCGAGGCCGCAGCGTGGCCCCCGCCACGGCGAAGGCGGGCAGCGGCGGGACGGCCAGGAGCGTACCTGTTCGGACAGGCGTGTTTGGTCTTCGAGCAGAGGATCGACAGCAGAATCGATTCCCGGAGAGCTCTCTGAGAGCTAGAGGGCTTTAGATTAGAAGCCGGACGGTGGTGGTGCCCGCCAGCAGCCCATCTTCGCCGGTCCAGGATTCTCGCAGCGACTCGCCCGGGGTCGCAGCCCGTCCGGGAGAGCTTCCGGCACGCGTCCACGCGTGCCTGCACGCGTGCAGGCACGCGTGGAAGCGTTCCAGGCAGCGCTTCAGAAGCGCTGCAGGGGAGCCCCCCAGAGCTCCAGAAGCGCTTCACGAGAGCGTCCGAAAGCTCGCCAGGAAAGCTTTGCGGTGTGTGTTTCCTTCGCTCTCCGGGTTTTGGACGCTACAAAGTGCACCCCAAAGGTGACTTCTTCGCCGCATCTGCGAGGAGTGCGTGGAGCGTGCCGCAGATCTGCGGAACATGCCGCGTATCCTTCGCAGCTTCGACGGGGGAAAAAAAAAC